GATTGTGCTAGGTGTACTTTACTTGTATTTCTTCTTATTATTATCATCCTATTTCTGCATTACCACATGGAAGAAATGCATCCTTTATAATGTGGAAATTCAAAAATTTTTAACAGGATTTTTTGCTGAAATGAAATGAAAAAGAATTTTTCAAGGGCTTTGTCTTTTTGCGTAGTCTATGGGGCCTGGTGGTTCATGCAGTAGGAAAATTATTGTTGCTCTAGAGATGGGTTTTATTTGAACTGTAGGCAGTCTCTTGAAAAGTGCTGTGCTTTTGTGTGCCCAGCTGTGTATTTTAAGGCCAGTGACCAACTGGGTGCTAAAACCATCAAAATGCTTGTATTGGAACAGCATAAAAATCAGAATTATTGATGATAACAAATTTGAGGTTTTCCAGAAGTGTTTATGGTAGAGGAACATTAGTCGTTTCTTCAGTAGCAAGGTAAAACAGTGGTTTTCTAATTTAGGTAGTAATGTTAATGCTTTCTGTAGAAATCATGGGTATTTGGATACGGCTCTTAGTGATTTCATTTGTCTTAAATGAACACAGGCATAATCATGAATTTTAATTAATTTTCTCTCTCTGTAAACAAATGAGCTGGAGAATCCATTTTTGCTGATACAAAGCTAAATATTCAGGGTTAATGAGAGAATTACAATTTTAAAATGGAAAAGCATGGCTATCTTGTCAGCTGATGCAGTTTTCCACATCCTTGTAAGCCATTAGGATCTGAATTTGTAGAAAGAGTATATACAAATGCTTAAAGGTCTTTATGGGTAGAACACAGTTCATGACTGGAGATAGAGAGAGGCTTGGGTGATTTACAGCTCTTAAGCTGGACTCTCTTCATTGATCTGTGTGTGTGTGTGTGTTCGTGCATATGTGCAGGTGTGTGTATGTGCTCTAAGGTTAAAGCAGAGGTTACCTTTAATGTGTTTAATCGTTACACCGGAATGATTTGATCTTCTGCTTGCTCAATAAATGAGAGTAACTGTGCAGGTTTTGCACATGATGAGTACAGGTAACGCACCTTAAACTTCCCTTATAGCTAAGAAACAAGTTGTTTACTAAGTGCTAGTAGATTAACTGTATCCAAGAACTGATTCAACAGTGTTAAATCTATTTCTCTTTATTTCAGGTGACCAGACTTTAAGAATTTGGGATGTAAGAGCCCCAGGAGTCAGACTTGTGATACCAGCCCATGAGGCAGAGATCTTGAGCTGTGACTGGTGCAAATATGATGAGGTATAAACCAGTTTGTCCAACTGTTTTCCTAATTGAACTACTCTCATTAAATAGTGGGATTATTTTACTGAAACATAAATGCATCTTCTCTTTACAAAAATGTGTCTAATTACTTTGTTGCTGTCATTCGCTACTGCATCTTCAGAAGAGCATTGTTCCAACAGATAGACAGCCCAAGAAGACCAGAGGTTTTGATTGCTTTTTTTATATAGTGGACAGAGTAGTCCATAGTGGAAAAACAGTTTGTATTTCTCTGTTCTCTTTAATTTACACACTGGAGATCTCATTTATGATTTATTAATCTGTATTGTTTATCTGACTTTTGTAGCCAAGATACGCATTGCTGCAATTCAATAACTGCATTGTCCTGATCTCTATCTGTGTTTTATCAAATCATCAGAACTTGCTGGTAACTGGTGCAGTTGACTGTAGCTTGAAAGGCTGGGATTTGAGGAACATCCGGCAACCAGTGTTCATCTTGCTTGGTCATACCTATGCTATCAGAAGAGTAAAAGTAAGTTGTGTTTTATTCCCCATTGACCACCACTGAGTTGTTATACATTTTTTTTTCTGGAAAGCAGTAATATTTTATGCTACCTAATAACTAGGAAAAAAACAATGGGTGTTGAATATAGATGCTACAGTGACTATTCGTGGAAACCCTCAGTTTAGCACTGTAAAACATTTTGATGTTTAGCAGACTGCTGGGATTTCAAAGTAAATGACATCTTCACAGTCAATGTATTTCCATGAGGAGTGTTTGAGAGCTTCAGAGATAGTTGGGAGGTTTACTTCAGCTAAGTTATATGGGAAATTTGATATAGAGAAAATACCTTTACTTATTTATTTATTTTAAATGGTGCTGTGCCTTTTCTCTTCCATACAAAGGGTCAATATTCACGTAAGGCAAGGTATAGAACTTGTTGTGAATATGCTTTTGTGTGTATACAAAGAAGATGCTAATATGTTCAAAGAGATTTTGAAACTTTATGCATGAAAGGCTATGTATGACTATACGGGATCAGGGTACTACTAGATCACCCACAGACAGGAATTTGTTCTAGATGCACGATGACTTTTTTGTTTTAGTTTTGTTTTGTTTTTTTTTTTCCTACTAGTAAGATAATATCTGATCCTTTTAAAGCCTTTCAGGAACAGGTATGTTTGTTAATATTTTCTAGGAAGTCTGAACTGACAGAAAAAAAATTATCCTGGGTCAGTATTTTGCTTCACATGCCCTTGGAATTGAGGTGTTTTTGACAACTTTAAAGGTCACTGTGCTTAGATTGTAACTTGCCAGAAAAAGGCGTGACTCAGGGAGTGGTTCCATATCACAAACCCTGTTTGTGGCCAGACAGCCTGCAAAAGTAGAAATTTTTTTCTAATTTAATTCTTGTGTGACAGTGGTCTAATCTGGCTCTGTGAAATGTTCTTCATAGCAGAAGAACATTTAGCAATCATATTTGAGTTTTTTTTTCTTGTTTTTTTTAAAAAAGATAATTTTGAAACTCCAGTTTGACATGCTTTAAGACAAATGAATCAATACAGTATCAATCAACACAGCCTGTCATATTCTTACTCTCTGACACTTAATGGGATCTCTTTAAAAAATACAGAATTGTTATTCACCATAGCCTGTGATAATAGAACTAAAGGGCACTTGATGAAACTGGTAGAAGATGGATTTACAAACAGATGGAAGTACTTCTTTTACATGTCAGATGTTAGACTTCTTGAATTAGCTCTCTGCACAAGAGGCTGCATAAGCAGGCAGTGTCATCAGGTTCATGGTCAATAAACAGATCCTAGAAGAGCTAGCCAGGGATACCATCTGTAATTTCTCTAATCTCTATCATCATCAGATGAATTAGGAAGAGGGTAGGCAGCAGATGGAAGGAAGTTATCCTTCCCTGCTACTCACTGCACCAGCGAGGCCACATGTGGAGTGCTGGGTCCAGTTCTAGGCTTCCTGATACAAGGGAGATAAGGACATTCTGGAATAAATCCAGCAAAGGGCTACAAAGAATATTAAGAGACTGGAGTCTCTGTCCTACCAGGACAGGCTGACAGAGCTGGGACTCTGGTGTGGAAAAGAGAAGTCTTAGGGAGGATCTTACCACTGTGTACGAGAGATTGGGGAAAATAAAGCAAAGCCTGACTCATCTCAGTGGTATCTAGTGACAGGACCAGAAGCAGTTGGTGCAAACCAAAATACAGAAGATGCCATGTAGACACAGGGCACTGGGCTCAAAGACTCTTGGCCTGTACAGGTAGGGTATCTTTTATATTCTTATACTATCTCATCTGAGTTTCCATTTTATGGCCCATCATCTTCTCGGTTTTCTTAAAATGCCTTGAAGTGATTATTAGGAGTTGGCCAGCAGTAGAACTTTCTTTGTGCCAGCCTCTGACATCAGTTCACTGAGTGGCTTTAAGAAGATGGTGAGGAGGCTGTATATGCACACGTGTGCAAAGAAGAGGTACTTGAGAGTACACAACTTCTCTTCCGTCGTGGCAGACTTTTATAACTTCTGTTTCATGATAGACATGGTCCCCGTGGATGTAAGATGTGAGAATGTGGGCCAGCACTTAGAGGTGGTGCAGCATATCTCCACTTGGGTGGTGTGCCTTAGCAGTCACAGTAAACAGAGAGAGAGCCCAGGGTGCTGAGTAGAGGCAGCTGTCCCTGCTGACGTCCCTGCCCCTACGTGATGCTGACACAAGCAGTTATAAAGCTGGGCAGCACGCTGGCTCAGCTGATTGCTCTGGCTGAAAATCCTATTCCTAAAAGTGACTAGTTTCTGTCTGGATCACTAAGCTGTCTCAATTTGTTGCTTAACTGCACAGTTCCAAGCCCTGTCACAAAGAAAGGGGGCAGGAGCACATAGCCTGAAGTGGAAAGGGAAGGCCACGAGTCTTGGCAGCAGTGCACTTTTAAATTAGCTTAAACCAACCATGAAATTGCACTCTTCAGTTCTCTGTCTTTTGTATTCTGTTCACTTGTTCAGGGTTGTGTTGAATGTCAGACTGAGGCTGAGAGGGAGCTCTAGCCAACACGATACTCTTGGGATTCCTGAAGATTTCTTGTGGTCTTTCACTGCAGTGCAGGGCTTTATCGGCACACTGAGGTGATCTGGAGCCCTTTTCAGGAGATTTGGACATGGGTGCATTTGGCTGTCTCGTATTCTTAGCTGGCCTCAATTTCTTATACTGAAATATACTTACGGTTTTAGGGTTTACCTAAAAGGTATTTGGATAAATGATCTGTGAAATATTGGAGAACAGGCTGGGTGATATGTTGGTCTCTTCTGTCTAGATACAACTGTTTGGATGATAAAATTGTAGTATCTTACAGTTAAGTGGAGCAGAATTTTAAAATACTGTCTTCTTTTTGTAGCAGAAAGACATTATGCAAATTCTTTTGACTTACATGTGTAGCACTCCACAAACTACTTTAATAGAGTTTGCTTAGGTAAGTTTCTAGGATACTTAAGGTTAATGACAAAGCTTTTCAGCTTTGACAAGAGGTTTTTGCTTCATCTGAAACTGTGGACAAAGATGGAAAGGGGGCATGTGGGAAATGTACCATTTGCTTTTGCTGCTTATCCAACTTGTTCCCCTTTATTGCTCATATTCCTTGTTCCTAAGGTGAAGAAGATGTTTTGTTGTGGTTTTTCTTTTTTCTACAGAAAAATTTCAGGAAATCTGGGGAGGTTAAAGTTCAAGCATGAACATCCCTCAATTCTGCTATAGTAAAGAGAACTTGGTCAGCAGACTTTAGCAAGCAGCAGTACACATTGCTCATGTGGCAACTTGGCCAGTTGTGGCAATAGCCCAGGCTTAACTTTTGACTTTTGTAGTAGCTGTAATAATATTGGGAGTCTTGCAGGAAGAATCTTACCATGATGTGGGGGACCTGCATTTCAAACTGAAGCTATATCAATGACTTATGTATTTCCTGTTGAGGAATACAGAAGTTAAAGGTAGTTGGAAACTGAGGGTTCTCAAAAAGCTGGAGCTGAAGTGTTTTTGCCAAACTACATCCTTATTGTTACAGTTCATAGACGTGTCTGCAGTTGTAGAAGAGCGTGTCCCATAAGATGCCCTGCAGAAGAGGGGGAAATGATCAAGTGGCATTATACCGCCTTCAGTTTTTCAACTTATCTCCTAATTTTCCCATTGCTGTAAATAATTTCAACATTTTAGGACACGGAATTGTTGATGGCAGTATAACTTACGTTCTCTGCAGTATGGCAAAAAATTTCTCTCTCTGAAAATAATAAGCCGGTCACGTAGCTTTTCTGAAACACACTTTATATAATGAGATGATACTTGGCTTGTCAGCCAAAACCAGAATTTAATGTCCTAAAACTTCTTGCCTTTACAGCAGTGTTGTTTGGCACTGCTGTAACAAAACCAAACCACACCATTGGCCATTCCTTGTAATTCAGAAGTATGTCAGAGAAATTTGTTGACCTAGTTTGTTTTGTTGCAGCATGATGTGGTACCTACCAAGACAATTTAAAGAATTAAACTTTGGTAACTTTCTGCTTCTAGTAAGTCTGTGTATGTTCAGAATATTTTTACTTCAGAAGCTGTTCTGTTTTGTTTTCTTGCAGTTTTCACCATTCCATGCAACCTTATTGGCCTCTTGCTCCTATGATTTTACTGTGAGGTACAGTATTTTTTTTATTGGATAAAAATGAAAAGATAATCTATTCTGATATGCCATGCAATAGAAAACAGTTCTAGAATGGACATACTGAAGTGCAGTTAATGTTGGTATCGGATGTTTTCTCTCTTCATAAACTATTCTGAAAATGCACATGTTGTTTACTTAAAGGCTGGCTCAGTCAGTCTTCTGAATGGTGTCTGATCTGACAGATGCTTTCTATAATCCTTTTCACATCATTCTGCTGAACTTAGTTGCATCTAGCTGTGATAGTGTCTAATGACAAGGTAATAACCTCTTAAATGAATGTAAGTGGGTGACTTCATATGTTTCTGTGACACATTTAAGCTTTTTATCCTACCAGTATCTGAGGGAGCTTTAGTAGTGTTCTACAGTTGTTGCGTGAAGGGAAGGGGGTAGGTGTGGGTAAGGG